ACAGTATTCTTTTATTACTAACACCTGATATACATCATTATACCTGTTTTAAATGCTCAGTTCCTATTGATTATATTAAAAAAATAATTATTACTATTTTATTAAAAATATACTAAAAATAATAAAGTTTATCATTTAATTTATATAACTTCTTTATTTTAATATAAAGCTAGCTTTTCTTAACTTAAAAAAACTTACTTAAATCTTTTATAATATTTTATATAAATTTTCTTACATTATTAATCTCAATACTGTTTTTTCTTACCAAATCTTTTTATTAGTTTTGATCTTATTAACTTTTTTTTCTATAGTTACTAATACTAATCCTACTACTAATTAATCTCTAATTATTACCACTCTTAATATTTTAACTTAAATCTTAATAACTTCAGTAATTCTAGCAAATCTGATAGTACTTCTAACAAACCTCTTTTTCAATTTTATTTTAATATTTTTAAACCAAAATAAAACTCTATATATAACTAACTTATAAATCTTTTTATTATTAAAAAAATACAATCTAATATAAAACTACAATATTATTTTTTTTCAACCTTTTATCTTTTTTAAAAATTTTTTTATAATTTTTATTCTGATAAAGAAATTAAGTCTACTATTTCTTTTCAACTTGTATTTTAAAGCTTTATTCTATCATATTATTCATATAATAGCTAGAAAACAATCTGAATTTCTAACTAACCTCATCTATAATAGTAATTTTAATATTTATAAAAGTATGACCATTTCTTTTAATTTTCTTGAATCCATTTTCAAAAACTCTATTCTTAAATTTACAACTTTTCTCTTTATTAAACCAAACAATCTTAAAATCTTTACTTAACTAGTTATTATTTTTTTATATACTATTTATAATTATTTTTAACTTTATCTTAATCTTACATGTCTTTATCTTTTTTTATTTAACAACTATCAATATATTAATTATTAAAAATTTGCCAAAGATTTATTAAAACATTTTATTAAATCAGATTAAAAAACATAATAATTATTAAAAAGCAATCCCTAACTCTAAGTCACAGTGTCAGTGGTTTTTCATGAGGTTTGTCTATGACAATAGACTTATTGTATATATGTATATATGTATGTTATAATCGAATAGCCACTCATGTGCCTCAAGCTTTTTACTAGTCATGCAATGAGAAATCCTATATATATTGGCATTACATTAAAATATGCTGATTCTGATTTAAAAGCAACAAATTTTTCTTTAATATTCACTTTTCTTTTTAATATCCTGTACATATACTTCAGATGATATTTGATGGGCAAGGATTTTGAATAAGATTGATTAATTTTTATATAATTATCTAAAATTACAAAAAAAGCATTAGCAGAGAGTAGGTAGATGTATGGATGAATTGTTTTGTTATTATTGCTTAAGTACTGCATAATTTAACTTGTAAATAAGATTGTCTTTCAAAATTGGCTCAAAAATATTGATCAATAATTATAATACTTTTCTTTGCGATTATGAGTCATTTGAATATAAGTTTTGGTTTAGGTTAAATGACAGTAATAAAACTGGTGACATATATATAATTGATTTGGCTTCAAATATGCATGAGATTCTTGTTTTACTGCTTATATCATTATTTAAAATACTCAATAATGGAGTTTTACATTGTCTATCTGTAGAAGTTTGTAGACAACCTTGTAAGAGAATCTGTTGTTTGTTTTTTTTTTTGCTAATTCATTTTTATATTCTACATAGTTATCCTAATTCTTAGATTTGAGCATTATAATAGCTCCTGATGTTGCTATATACTCAAATAATCAATTTGTTCCAAGTTCTTTTACTGTCTTATGACCTTCTCATGTCTTTATACCTCCTAGTAATATAGATGTATGTGGATTTTAATGTGCATTATTACATTTGTTTAATATATAATTTTTTCTTTAACATGGTTTATATAGAGAAATACTCATATACAAATAATTCATGAGGTAGCCATAAGCCAAAGTGTTGGTCATTTGAAACAAAAGTGTTTTACCTGGATGCAAGAACAATATGTCTGTGCTGTTATTAATATTAAGATTTTAGATCCAAGATCATGTATACAGAAACCTCCAACAGAATATTTTTATAGATAAATGATAGTATGTTTTACTTATTATTTAATGATTCAAAATCAAGTATTACATCTTTTCATTCTGATTATCCTGTTTTTTTTTAAAAAAAAATTTAGACAAAACTTTATTGTCAAGAAATGCCAGTACAATGATAGGGTTTTGGGAATATTAAAAAGTGTGCAAAGGATTCTAACACAGATCCCACTGGTTGCATCACACCAAACTTACCAGCTTTTTAAATAACTATTCCTATAAATAAAGTATTTTGGGTTATCTCATTTCCTATTTCACCTACATATGTTCCAATAATCCCTCCTATGGCAAACATAATTGGTACTAATTTTGTTATTGACTTGTACAATATCCAGCAAGAAGTTCTAGAATTTAAAATGTGAACTAGTTAAAATTGGCCTTTTTCATATTTATAATATTATAGTTAAACTAAAATGTATAAATATTGCATTATGCAATTTTATAGAGCTAATAAAGTGGTTTTGTAACTGGTAGTAGGCAGTAACTAGATTTCAAAATTAGATTAATAATTAAGATGAATCGTATTATATGCAAATTTCTTAAAGCATCTTTTTTTATTAGACTATAGGCATAGATTGAGTTATTTGTATTTAAAAATTTTGAAAATTTTAAATCATAAAATATGATTGGCATGTTGATGATACAAATAAGTTTATTAAGACATGCTTAGACATCCAGACCTGGACTGTCTGTTGTTCATATCTCTATTCCATGACAGTATTGATTTATAGTACATTAAGACCTCTTTAAGTAACTGTTGTTAGGTGAAACTACACCTAATGAAAGTCAAAACAAGTGAAATGTTGAAACTCTGATAAAATCCTAGTAAAGCTAAAACTCTTGGAAAACATCAAGCACAATAAACTATGTTAAATCACAATATTTGTTTGTGGCTATTAAGCATAGCATGTGGCTTATATAAAATGTATAAAAGCAATAAACAAAATGATAGCCTTTTGTTTGTATTTGAGTACTATTAAAAGAAAACTATACTTCAGGCTTTTGAACTTATAATAAATCAATTTAGTTTTGAAAATCAAAGTCTAAAATATTTGTTTTCTTTTAGTAGCATTTATCTATGTATTAATATTATTTGTACAGTATGAAACAGCATAAATCAACAATTTTTTTTTGTAAAATGCACTAAATTTAAAAATTACATAATCAAATTATCAATTTTTGATTGGTTAATATAATATAATTAATTGTAATTAGTCAAAATAACATGAGTTTCTTTTTTTATATATTAACTAGAGATATGATTATGTGTGTGGCTTTACTGCCATGATAGGTATGTTAAGGATAGTAGATTTAATTATAATAAATTAATTTTTAGAGAGAATAAAATTTATTTTATAAATAATATGTTTATTGAGAATATATGGGGATGTCACAGCAAAACAAGGCTTTGGGACTATATATTATATAGTTATTAAGCCTTATTTTGCTATAGACATCCCTATATAATGCTTTTTAAGAAGAATTTTTATAAAGGTTGAAAATATCAAATTTGTTATATTTTGAGAAAATTGTAAAAAAAGTTGTTACATTGAGTTATTATAAATAAAGAAAGTTGGGTGAATAAATAATAGTTTGATTAGGTTTTAAGACAATTATTTTTAAAAAAGGTTGTTGAGAATAGTAGATACTATTTTAAAATTATATATAAACTTAATAGTAAATATTTTTTATAATTTAAATTATAGAATTTTGAATGATCTTAATGCTTACCAAAGGTGAAAATCATTACATCACATAATCATATGAAACCTTATTTTTATTTTATGCTTATTCATTATCTATAACAAAGCTTTATAAAATTTCAGAACACTTAAAGAATCATGAACTCAGTGATTTGCATGACATCATTTGTTTACTAGCACTAACAAATCAGCCTAAATTATACTTTAACCTAACCCTAAATAGCCTAACTCTAACCCTAATTTAGGCCATGTGTTATGTGATCATTACTGGGTTCACAATTCTTTAAACTATCCAAAGTCTAAAAAAGTCCTATTTAGTCCTGTTTGGTTCTGTTTCATAGAAGTTTGAATTTAGGAATAGTTCAAAAGTAAGTTTGAATAATATTATATAAAGGTTGATTCAAGTTTCAAACTTATTTTACTTTGCACATACATACTTACATATATTGTACAAATAGCAAATAGCACAAATATAGAACTGAAGTTTGATCTGACTATCAATCAAATTTTAAATAACCAGTTTATCATATTGTATAATCCTGAGTTGTCCTAACCTACTTAATAATTATATATATGCTCTATACATACATATATACAAATATCAAAAATAAAAAAGAAATTTTGTATGCAATAATAGCCTTAATCTAATTATAAATTTGTTTTTGCATACAACTTAAGCAGTTAATAACTCAAATTAGTACAAGGACAAACAATTATGTAATCTAGTTAAATAATTTATATCATAAATAATAACTGCCAAAGCTATTATAGTTTATATGATAAATAATTTTAATAAGCTTTAACTAATTATGGCATAAAATGTAATTGTTCTATTACATTGTTTGCTTATTTAGATAAGTGACCCAAATTATATACACATACATATTATGATACTTATGTTAGTTATATTAGCAAAAAGTAAGAGCTTATAGCTAGTTTAAAAGAATTTGCTTCTTAAGCTCTGCTGATATGAGCAAGATTACTTTTCTTTAACATTTGTATATTTTTTTTGATATTAACTGAGCTTTCTACATAACAAATATCTACATTGTGGTCTTGATAATTCTTCACTATAATTTTCTTATGCATTATTAATATTTGTGTTTTTGTGTATTACATTTCTCTTTTTCAACATTTTTATAACACTTTTGATTTTTTTTTGCTGGGAGTACCTCAAATTTTAGTAAGATGCAGATCATTAGTTTGCTCAATTAAATCTTGTTGCAGGGTAATAATACCATCATTACCTTGATTATTTTCAACACTTTCTGAATTATTATTCTTATTACAGCTATTTTGTTTAATTAAAATGAAGTTCTTCAATATTTGAATTAATTCATCATTACTCTTTGTCTCCAATACAATGTTAATTGCAGTTTTAGTTGTTGAAAAAACTATTCCAAATCTATCTTTCTAAGGAATAACTTGCCAAATGTTTGTTTGATAACCAGAGCCTTGAAAATTTTGTAGACTTTGAAGGACAAAATTTACTTTAACTTTATTTCTAGTTAATGGTTTCAAGGCTGTAAGAACTGGCAAGTTGTTAACAACTTTGTCTAATTTCACTAAAATATCATTCTTATACTATCAGATTAATATAATACTAATATAAAATTTTGCAACATTAGGATAAAGCATGACCTGCCAAAAATGATAGTAAATAATTTTCTTTGTAATCATTTTCAGGCAAATACAAATATGTGTATTATTATTAAGAAGAATCACTGTATTATCTCTATAAAAAAGACCACCTATTCAATGAATTTTTTATATTTCAATAATCTTAAATATGTCAGTATCAGTTAAAAAAGCCTTTAATGTTGCTTGTGGTTTATCAACTATATCCTTTATAAAATTATCATTTATAGTATCAAGATACAAATTCTATATAGAATAAATAGAATAAATAAGTATTTCAGTTTTTATATATGCTGTTACTTTAATTCAAAAATAAGAACATATTTTAGGTACTGAATGCTCTAACCATTCTTCATAAGTAAAGGATTGTGAAATTTGAAATTGTTATAAAGATAATATAATAGGTAGTAAAAAATTAATGAGAATCATATTAATATTTAAAAAGAACTGAGATGAAATATATAGAAGTCCAATTATTGAATGCTGTGCTTTAATGTCTGTCAATTTGCAATATCTAATTTCAGCTTCAAGTCTTTGATTTATTATCTTTTCAATTTTACAAAGCATGCTTATATTATTAAGAAATTTTTTAATAATGTTGTTAAAAAATTTAACACCTTGAGTGCTTTGAATGTCCATATTAAAGTGAAATAGTATAAAAGCTTTGGCCCAGTTAATTTGGTTAGCATACAATTTTTTGGTTATATAACATTCAAATTCTAAAAATAGTTTTATTATAAATTCCTATCATTGTTCAAAAATTTCCACACTTAAAGCATTTCGATATAAGAAAAAAACCTTTTTAAACTCATTGAAATTCAAACCTAAGGATGCTTTAAGATGTTTAATTATATTTTGCTGGATGTAATATAAACAATAAAAGTGATTTGTATTTGGAAATACTTGAGAAACTGCACTAATTAAGTTGGATTCAGAGTAGGTCCAAAATGAATTGAAACTATATTATTTGTTGCCTTTGTTATGCATTAAAAAATTTAAATATATGTTAAAAAAAGTTCATTCTTCACCAGCATATTTGCCATATTTCGAAACCTTTTGTAATTATTCTTTATTATAAAAATGCTCAGATACATGTTGTATTTATTAGTTTTGCATATGTTATCATTAAGAACTATATCAAAAAAATGGTAATATAATTTTCATTTAGAGGGTGACATCCAAAAAACACCTGATAGACGATGTTTATTGCCAAAATGTCTAACAAATACTTTTTAGCATGAATTTTAAGACATTTTTTCAAAAAGACTATCAAACAAAGAAACTGAATTAAGTTTCTTATCATCATTTTTTTGCAGTTTATAAATTGCATTATATATGTCTTGTTTATAAAACACATGTTGCAGATACTTTTTTTTAAGCATTTCTAGTTGAGTAATAAGTGTAACCTTGCAATTTAAAAAAAATTTAATATCTTGAATCATTTTATTGCTAAAACATCGATATCTAGTAATAATATTAGAAATCTGTGCAGAATTGACTTCGTGGTTGTATATATTTTGTAATTTTGTATATTTTATTTAATAAATAGATTTTGGGAATAAAAAGTTGCAGTGACAGTCACAATTTGTTTTTTTAGTACCATGTAAATAGTGTAAATTTTGATTAATTACTTTCTGAACTTTATAAGTGTCACTTGACAAACAACAATAAGATTTGTGACAAATAATAGTAGGATTTTTGAGGTCTTTATCATTATGGAAAATTTGATATCCAAAGCCTCATTCTAAACAGTAATATTGTATGAAGCTATCAACAGATAGCTAATTATCAAAACAGTCACCCACATGAAGGCTATATTAATAGCCAGAAATATTTATATCCTTATAATTACTACTATATTCAGAAGAGTTCATATTAGCATTGACAAATTTGCCATTTACAGAATCTCTATTGACAGAATTTTTATTGACAAAATTGCTATTGACAAAATTACTGTCAGAAAATGAACAGTTATTGTTAGATTTAAAAAGTGATGAAAAAAGACTTGTATTAACTTGGCTATTATTTTTTTTATAGCCAGAGGGTAGTGAAAGATTTATATCATCAAGATTTTTGTTAAATGGTTTAGAATAAGATAAGATAAATAATAGATTTATATCTTTCAAATCATTATTAGAAAATGTTATAAATGAATTCCAGTTGATATTATCCATTAGGTAATAAGCTAAACTGTTGTGACACACATTCTTGCACTTTTATTAATTAAAGTTGTTCGATTAATGTTCTTGCACTTTTGGTTAATGTTCTTGTAATTTATCAGTTGAAGTTGTTTGATTAATATTCTTGTGTCTTTATGAATTAAAATAGTTTGATTACAAATTACTACTCTTTTACAAAACATCTAAAAAATGCATGATTATACTTATAATTATTTTTATTTTATTCCCTAAGATCAATTACATAATTGTTTATACATGTTATAATGAAATTTATTGGAATTTTAATTATATAATATTCTATGAATTGGGATAAGCAGATAACAACCTCCTACTTGTGAAATACTAATTGCATGATGAAATTCACCAGAGGTTAATATTAAATAAATCCAAAGATATATATTATTTTAATGTATATGTTGTGCCTTAGATCGATTCTTGCCTCAGGTGTCAATTGGCCTAAATTAGAGTTAGAGTTAGGGTAAGGATTAGAGTATAGTTTAGGCCAATTAATGTCGATTAGTTAATGCCGGTCAAATAGTCAATACCTGAGGTGCCTCAATTATCACCTGAGGCAAAAATTGATTTGAGGCACAACATATATATTATAAAAATTTTTTTAAAAAAATTATTATAAATATATGTTCATTTTTTACTAAAAATGTAATGTATCATGTAGATCATATGAGGGTGCCCATAGCAAAAGGTGATTTTTGACCAACCAATCAGATTTTGAAATTTTATATAATATCTAATTAACTGATAAATATCTTTATAAAATTAAATTTTGGTTGCTAAATATATTAATAAAAAAATTTATAATTTGAATTAATTATTTTGATAATATTATATATGTAATAGTCATATACCAAATTTAGATATGATTTTTTTCTCAAAATCATATGATTTTTCCAAAGCCACCTTTTGCTATAGGTTCTCCCATATAGAAAATAATCTACTATACCCACTACCCTTAAATGATGTTGTGACAGGTTTAATGTCAAGTCCAGAGATAGGGGCAAATGCGACGGATTGTTGCTAGAAAAGGGTTATGCCGCGTAGCGTTCCTCAAAGATAATAGAGGCAGTTTAATGATTTGGCACAAGGTCAAAGCGATCGGTTAAGGAGCGTTACAAGATAAGTACTACGGTTTTTAAAGAGTGTTATTGTATTGGCAGTTCAAAGGGTCTTTATTAATAACTTTATTAATATTTTTGTAGGGGCAGTACAAGTATATTGTTAGAGGTTATTTGAACTATATTGAACTATGCTGGACTATATGGACTCTTGGACGATACTGAAATGTCTTTCGGAAGAGGGAAATTCCACCCTTTTTATAATGAATTGAACGAGAGAAGAGCCCGTGCAAGACCACGGTTCTCCTTATTATTCCCAACACTTCCCAACCTTATTTGTTATAACCTTTAACCCCTTCCACACAGCCTTTCGTTACTTTAACATTTCTCACGGCTTCGATGAGAAATGTTTCAGTTACATGATCCCGGGGCCAGAACCCATCGTATTGTCTTCAATCGCACCCCCTTGACATCGCCTCACACCTAACCCAAGTAAGGCAGGTGGAGTCAACGTCCATTCCCAGCGCAACAGGTTGGTCCAGGTCGACCTTACTTTAATTGGAGGGGGTGGTTGGGTCCCGCATGGAGGCTTGTGTACTTTCATATGGCTTCATTGGGGCCAGGAGCACATGTTTCAGATGGATCGTCATGGGCAACTCTAATTAGGTAAGTATGCCACAATGACGTCCATTTTGCAGGTTCTATGAGGTGTCGGTTTTACCTCTGACAATGTTTATAAAGTTTATTATTAATTATTATAGTTAAAGCTGCTTTATGTGAAGTTTTTGAGATTTTGAAGTTTTTTTTTTCATTTTAGAGTAGGATAGTATTGTGGATAGAGTTGTAATATAAGCATAGAAGTGGGTTGTAGTAGAGAATTCAGATCCAAAATTGGTAAAAAAATTATTTTGTTATTTATTGTTATTATTATTATAAACAGTAAAAAAACAAGTTGAGAAGTTAGAAGTGAGGAAGTCAATTGATAATTAATGTAAAGTGAGAGTGTTGTAAAATTTTAAAATATAGATTTAGAGTTAAATTGTTGGAAATTTATAAATTTCTATAAATAATTAAAAATAAATGATTGAATGGAAGAAAATTTAGAGTAGGTATAGTAAAGGTTATTTTATTATAATTAGTTATAGTTATAAGTTTTTTTTATTCAATTTGGTGAGATGATAATGGTTATAGGTTGTGAGCGATGTTTTCTAGTTATAAATATTTATATATAATTCTATATCTATTGTGAGCTGTAGAATGGTAACGCCGGTAGTAACGAATTAACAATCACTTATCTAACGCAGTATACATTCGCTGTATCGGGTTGTTAAGGGAAATCATGGGATAAAGGATATAATTATAATAATCAGTATAAACATTACAATCAGTATAATTAGTATAGACATTATAAGTAGTACTGTATATACGGCTTCGAGCCCTACGAAAAGAACATTCATAGTTCGTGATCAATAAAAAAATTCGTCTCATAATAATTCCCTACTTTCACTACATAATAATAATATCTACAATCATAAATAACCCACTCGCCAAATCTAACACGCCCATTTCGACTAAGCCGATTCGTAGGTTACACGACGTATCCGATTGTGGAGCGCTGACTCGCCGTTCGACGTTGTTACTATCCATCAAACTTAAAATATTTTTTAGTAGAATTTTTTAAAGCATGTATGTCAGAAGTATATTTATCAGAATGCTGTTGTGATTTTACGATAATTGGTGGTACAATAGTATGCGATATGATTTCTCTCGATTGAATAATGTTAATTAGTTCTACATCAAGTGGTTCAAGTGATGATTTTGTTGAGTTGTCAAGTTTTTCTAATAACTTAAGAGCACCGGTATGTGAAACGGCATAGGAAAATGTGCAATATGGCCTCTCAGATTTAAATAACTTATAAGTAGATAAATCATATTGTTGCCCGGTAAAGGTTCTCCAAAATTACTTTCCGAATTATTACAATAACCTAAATATACTGTGAGCTCATGGGCTGAATTGGCTGGTGCAAATCAATTGCCCGGGTAACTTATTTATGCACTTTAAAGTACTTTTTGGGAACGCAAAATTACACAAGTAAAAAATCGACACAAATATCATTTCTAGCTTCAAAAGAGCGCTAGAAAGTTAACTTCAAATTTAATCTCTTATAATCTCTTATTTAGAGAAGTTAGCTTTGACACAATCTGTCGAAATAGGTAAAGAAAAAAAGCTTCGTCTGAATTTTAAAGTGGATTAAAAGACCATTACTAACAAAACAACCGCTTTTTTGTTTTAAAGATTGAGATTTCGTGTTAGGTGTTTGAAGCAAGACAGGCAGGCTTGTTTGCGTAAGAGATCTTGGCTTTAGATTTAAAATATTCTTTAGATTAACTTGATTTGTTAAAGCGTACTTGAGTTTATTGACTATAGATATGAATCTAAGTTATAGATAGTAGGTTTAGTGATTTGGGTTTTGTTTTAGTAGTGAACACCACTTTTGCCTTATTATATATGTGTCTATCTATCTTTTATACATATATAATCCAATAAACTATGTGTATTTACCGATTATTTGAAATTTTTCTTGCAGTTTTCGTTTCTAGTGTTACAGGTTTAATGTGAAATTCAGAGATGGGGCGAATGCGACGGATTGTCGCTAGAAAAATGGTTATGCCGCGTAACGTTCCTCAAAGATAATAAAGGCGGTTTTACGATTTGGCACAAGGTCAAGGCGATCGTTTAAGGAGCGTTACAAGATGAGTATTACGATTTTAAAAGAATGTGGGTTTATTTGTCAAGTTAAAAAGGCCTTATTAACTTTATTAATATTTTGTAGGGGCAATACAATTATATTGTTAGGGGCTATTCTGAACTCTTGGATGATACTTCGATACTTGACTTCGATGATTTACTGAGTTCTTGAAGGGGGAGATTCCACCTTTTTTATAATAAATTGACCGCGAGAAGAGCCCACGCAAGACCATGACTCTTCTCATTATTTCCAACACTTCCCAACCTTATTTGTTATAACCTTTAATCCCTTTTCACACAGCCTTTCATTACTTTAACATTTCTCGCGGTTTTCATAGAACCGATGAGAAATGGTTCAGTTTCATGATCCCGGAGCCAGAACCCATCATATTGTCTTCAATCGCACCCCCTTGAGATCACCCACACCTAACCCAAGTAAGGCAGGTGAAGTCAATGTCCATTCCCAGCGCAACAGGTTGATCCAGGTCGACCTTACTTTAATTGGAGGGGATGGTTGGGTCCCACGTGGAGGCTTGTGTACTTTCATATAGTTTCTTTGGGGCCGGGCGCACATGTTTCAGATGGATCGCCATGAGCAACTCTAATTAGGTAAGTATGCCACAATGACATCCATTTCGCAGGTTCTATGAGGTGTTGGTTTTACCTCTGACACTAGTATCGTAATATAACATAAATAATGAATAGCAAATTATGTGATTTGATTGGCTAATAATCACATGTAGATTTACAAATTGATCTATGAAACTAGCCAATCAGACGAATTTCTGCCCATGAACTGTGAGCGGTAGGATGGTAATGCCAGAAGCTCGTTTAAGCAGGTGATCGATGTGGCACAGTAATGGACTAACTGCTATGTCGATCACCTATAGGGCTGTTAATCGACTCCAATTAGTCGACTCTGAGTCACTTTTAGTCGAGCATCTTTCAAGTCGATCCCAAGTCGACTTCAGCAATCACATGATATTATAACATTGTGATTTGTTGACAAATCAAATTAATGCTTTTTTGGTTCGCAATAGGAATTTTTGAACTTAGTTTTTATTTTACTGAAATTTGATTTATTTCAATTAAATCTAAGTAATTCTTTTTTAATGAAAAAACAATTCGATAGAACAGAAACTTTAAACAATTAATATAACACTTGTTATAAA